ATTACTTGTACCAATTAATAGGGTTTTTTTTTTTAAATTTGCGTGGTATTCTGAAAAGTCATTGTATATCCACTTTGAAGTCTCCTATTTAATCAGATACCAACCACAAAGACAGGAACAGCAGTGTAAGCCTCTGTCAACCCTGCAGAATGGCAAGAGTGAGTTCTTGCTCAAGCATGGCTCCTCTTCACGTGTGTTATGCCAACAGGAGAGATGGTTTGTGTGTATGCACACAGACATGAGCAAATGTGTGTGTGGAACTCAAGTTCTGAACTATGTGCAGGCACCAAAATGCCCTATTATTAGTTGATTCAAACTCAACAAGCTATCAAGTAATGCTAATCAGAACGCATCAAATATTAGACTTGCACTGCATTTCTTTCTGAATATTTTGTGGATCATATTTTACAGCTCACCTCTTTTGTGTAAACAGACCCAGACCAACCTGTATTTAACTGTCTTACCTTTCTTCAGTGCTAGGCAAACTATTCTTAATTAAGTTCTCCTTTGCTTTTCACCTCACTGTTAGCCTATCTTAGCACTGAAAATATTTTTCTGATGCTCCTGTATTTTTGCTTCTTATTTTTCTTAGTTTTTCCTACCTAAAGAAAAATTGACTGATTACATTTAACAGATGCTGTAATAAAATAATAACAATGCATTTTATTAGGCATTAGTAGCTGATGTACATAAGAATCTCTCTCCACAATTTGTTTCTCTCACACATTTTCCAAACAAAGTTTTAGTTTCAAAGAGGGAAAAAGTAAGAAGCTCACACAATAATTCCTTTGAGAGTCTGGTTGATTCTATTCATTTTAAAGGAGGAAATCTCTCTTTGTATATGCTTTCAGAGCACTTAGGAGAGATAGTTTTGACTGTGGCCTCTGGACTCTATCATTATATAAATATTAATTCAAAATACTAATGAACTGTAAAGAAAAGGGGAGATACATCAGCTCATGTTTATACTGTTACTGTCTGTTTCAGAAGATAAATCCAGCACAAAACTTGTACACTTACAGTGACATTTCTTTGCTGTAGCTTTCTCCTTGAGGACCTTGGAATTCTTTCCTTGATAATAGGCTTTTCTTTTACTCAGCCTTTTTTTAGCCATTATCTGTGAAAAAGTTGATACTGCTATCTTAATGTCTCTATGCACATTTTATTTCTGAGTGATATATTACTTTAAGGTTTTCCAGTATTAATTTCCATTTGGATGCAAAGCATTAGCTAGGTCTTCTGTGTCTCACTAACCTGGGATCTTGGAAACCATAGATTTTATAATCTGTAATGTCACCTAACACATGACAATCCATAGATTTGATTGAGGATTCAGTACAATACTCGCAAGTAATTCACAGCTACAACTACTTTCCCCATGCAAATATTTGCATTAAAAAAAGTATTCCATGTGTACATTACTAACTTTTCCCAGCCTTAAGATTATTCCAGAATCTATGACAAAAATAGACTTCAAGTGAAGAACATCAAGGCCCATTATCTAGAAATGTTTTCAGAAAAATGTTTTCAATCCAATGAAGTGTGTGTGTATATACACACACACACTCTATACAAGAAACCATACTTCCAGAGTATGAGAATTAGCAAAGTCATGAACTTGGACTCAGTCATCTTACTTACCTGTATTAAGATTATAAATTCTCATACTAAGCCTGAAACACATGCCCAGGGTTCATCAAAAGTTATTTGAGGAAGATAGGTGTATGGGGTGGAATGAACTTTCCCCAGGGCATTCCTCAGTGCTGTGCTTTGTGTTTTTGGCTGGAAAGGTGTTGATAATGCACCAGTGCTCAGTGACTGATGAGCAGGGCTGGCACAGCACCAAGGCTGTCTCTCCAGCATTCCTCTCTCACCAGTAGGGCAGGGGTGGTCAAGATCTCAGGAGGGGATGGAAACAGGACAGCTGATCCAAGCTGAGCAAAGCAATATTCAATATGGTATCTGGTCAGCAATAAGAGCTGAGAGAAAGGAGGCAGTGAGGGTAGGGGGTGGGCTTTATTGTTCAGGTGTTTGTCATCAGGAGCACCTGCTACATGTACTCAAGTCCTACTTCCTGGAAGTGTTTGGCCATCACCTGCTGACGGGAAATAGAGGATAAATCTTTTGTTTCCCTTTGCTTCTGCGTGCAAACTATGTTTTTCTTCATTAAACTGCATATATGTCAACTCCCAAGTTTTTAACCTTACTTTCTTTCCCTGTCTGTCTGAGAAGGGAGAGTGAGAAAGCATTTTGATGGTCACCTTGGTAGCCAGCTAAGATCAACCCACCTCAACAGATATCCAAAGAGAATGATTCATACTTGTCTTGGAGCATGGTATTGGGATGCCAAGCCTAATTTTTAAGAGAGAATGAGTGGAAAGAATCTCTTTCTAATTTTCTTCAGGTCTTTCCACACTTTGGTGATTACACATTGAATGTGTGATTACAGTACCTAATGGTCTGGAAAAGGACATGTTGACACAGGTGCTTTAGTTTAACTCCTTGAGGTGCACAGGTTAATTTTTACTTCAATTCACATTGAAATTATCAGGAGTAGCATCTGAATGCATCTGAGGTACTAGAATTTGTCAGTTTCCTGGATCTTCTGCTAATCAGTTGGATACACAACCTTACTAAAGTTTGCAATTTTGCCAATGAGTCTAAAAATGGATTAAACAGAATGGCTTCTATCTGCACATAACTGAATTTTCAAATCTTAAATTGAAGACAGCAACAACAGGAAATGCTATTGGAGTTTTTTCTCCGCTGCTTCAATAGCCTGAATATATGATTCAGAACTCTAAATGGAAATTCAAGTCTTAAAGAGTTACTGCACAGAGGCTAGATCTGTTGAAGGCCTGCTGGTTGTCTGGGTCTCTATGGTATTGCTCATCATGCAAACTATGCATAATAAAAACTAACCTGTGACCTTGAATAAATATTTTGCACATAGATCCACTTGTGTTGTTCACATCATTATGATAACAAGATTTTAAGCAGTAAAGTCATAACCCCAATCAAGAAATCAAACATATTCTGCTTAAAACTTGGGTGGCATCAGTAATATCAGTGATTAAAATATAACTTGCAAGACTGACATGCCCTATCAAATAGGACACTGACATGTCTATAAAATTTGCTTGATTTCTACAGCACTGACCGCTCATATCTCCTGGGATATGGGGAACTATGAATGCTTAGGATTCTCTTGGGTGGTACATGGTGTTAGGAACGTAAGCAAAAAAAAAAAGATTTTGGCTAAACATCTATGAAAAAAAGGCTCTCACAGTGAGGTCCATCCATATGCAAAACAAAACTCTGTTCAACTGCTGTGTTGGATGAACTTTACCTGATGAATTTTAAAAAGGCTGTCTGAAGAGCTCAGTAATGGAAGATAATCCTGCTCTGGAAGAGAAGCTTACCAGTTTACCCTGACTCTGCCTATTCCATGCCTTTTAAAAAAAAGCAATCCATGTTGGGATCTCATATCTTTTCATGTTGGGTGCAACATCAGTCATCCTGAATTTCCTTTTGGCTGGAAAAGAACAGCAAAGCCTTGCTTTATCCTTCACTCAGAAACTTGGAAAGGGCCACCCTATGTTTTGGTGCTATAGGACCTTGAAGAGAGAGCACAGCACAGGAGAATCCCACCTACAATTAAATGTATTACTAAGAAATCTGTTGTTTGAATGAGAAAAACTCAGTGATGAGGCACATTCAAAAAAATTTCTCCCATTTCTGGGAAGGAAGTAATTTCTGTAGGAATGATAAAGGTTTCATTTCTAAGAGCAAAGAGAGTCAGAAAGTGTGGTTTATTAATCAATGTGAAAGACAACACAGTGACTTTATCAGGAAAGTGAGCTCAAACAAAATCAAGTAGAGCACAAGAGTGGCACAAGGGAAACAGGCCAAAGGCAAGGTAAATTCCTTGCAGCAATGTTATTCTCAATTCCTCTTAGATTGAAAATTTATTTTCTAAAAATTATAAGGTTCTGATCTTAGTGCTAACTTTATCTCTTCAGTTCTCCTGTTTTGGAATATAGTTATTCTTGAATTGTCTCTGTCTTTTGATTTCAAAGCTTTTTTCCAATTTCTATTTCACATTGATGAAAGAAGAGCTCCTGTCCCTCCTGCTGTAATCATGAATCTTTCAAAGGATTGTATTTTCATGAATTATGCATATTGTTATGTGAATAAGCACTAAAACATTATGTATAAAAATACCATGCTATTTAAATGTTATTTTTTTTACTTCACTTCTATCACACACAATCCTGAATCACAGAGTGCTTATATTACCTTCAGGGAAGTTGTGCCAATTTCTAATCAGCAGGGTGAGAAAAAAAAAATTAACGTAGCCTTTTAGTAATTGTAAAGAAATAGAGGATTGTAGAAGAGGAAGGAAACTTTTAAGTCAAGAAGTGGAGTCCCTTGCTCCTACAGGCGACATATCTTACCGTCTCATACTGTATCAGAATTTCAACAGGTTTTTTTCAGTAATTTATTTTACTTTCCTGCGTTTAAATTCAAATTCTTTCCCTTTCTTTTTTTCTTCCTTCTGCCACTTTCCTAGCAGCAAGAGAAAACATTAGCATTTATAGCCTGACACACTTGTAGTGAACATAAACCTAAGGAAACAGCATTTTACAACCTCATTTAATGGGAAATGCTGGAAATCCTGTCTCAACTGCCTCCATGCATCACCCAGACAGTTAAATTACAATGATGATCTGTAACAGAATTTGTGGAATTGCATGGAGACCTGAGGAAAGCATGGTACCTTTCACTTACTCTTAAAGATTACCACAAAAGCCCCCAGAACAATTAGAATATATTTTGGCTGTGTTTGTAGGTTAGGGAAGAAGTGAATGAACTGCAAAGGCAATAGAAACCACATGAGTATATTTGTCAGATAAGTATTTTCATGGCAAAGAAAAACTGATCAGTAACTACTGCATTTATGCACTTTGGAAAGACAGAATAAATTAAGTTCTAATTACCTCTACTTGGTCAGACTGCTTGTTTTCATCATAGGCAAATGGATGAGGCAGCTCTCCAAGTGGTATGTCATAGAACTCAGAATCATAAATTATGGTATCACTGATAGGGGCAGCTACAACAGACTCAAAGATAAAAAATCCCAGAAAAACATTTACAAAGGTCTGCATTTTGTTTTCTTTTCTGAAAGAGAAGAAATTGGACAGATGATAGGTACTCTGGTGTTGAGTACCATGTCACAAATACAGTACTTATATACAAACCCCACAATATTTCTGATGAATAATTAACATTTATTTATGGTGACTCAGTAGTTTAATCTGGTTTTCTTCATAAAGAGTCTCTGTAGCTGAGAATTCTTCGTACTGGTCTGGCCATATTCTTATTCATATAATTTAGAAAAGACCTATGGAATTTTATTGGTGTAAAAATAAACATCTGAATTATATTTTTACCCTTTCATCTAACTTCACCTATTTTCATTGCAATTAGATATGAACTTTTGTGAAACTAGAGAAAAGGTAAATTATTATATTACTTGTCTCTATCACAATAAATAATCTTTTGGACTGTATAACAATGTAATATTATATCTCCCTTCATAAAAACACTAAACAGAATCAAACAAACAAACAAAACCACCAACCTGTTGGTGAGAAAATCTTTTAGATTAGAAAAGACTCATGGATGGGTCATTTCTGGATAAGCATAATCAAAACACTTTTCACCTGTTAGTTGTTTTGTCAGAACATAATTTTACTTGGTGTGGCACATCTGGACCATACTTTTGCAAAGGTTTTGGGAGCAAAATAAAAAATAATATGTTGCCCCAAGGACAGTAACACCAGTACTCTGAATTCCTTTGTTATTCAATGAAAACCATTTTTGAAGTAGTGAGAAATTTTTATGTGGTGTATTCACCTGTTCTCCTTGGAAAATAGAATTGCAAAACTGAATTATCACCTATTTAAAGTTCTATAAAATTGAATTATCACCTATTTAAAGTTCCAGAATTCAGTAAAATGGTAGAAAATTCATGCTAGGCTAGAGAAGTAGTGTTTATGCATTCCCTTTTCCTTGTAAATGATGCATTCACTATTATCATATAAGATGCCTGATACAAGGCTCTATTCAGCGTTCTTTACTTACATCTTTATCTACAGCTCACATTAATTTCACCAAAAGCACAGTGATAATGAGCAATGCATAAGTCTAATAAACTGTATTCCTTATGCGATGCTGTGATACGCAGTCTCAAATATTTAATTTCAAAATTGTAGCTACTTCTAATAAAGTACAAGAAATACATGAGGCTTTTTTTTTAATGTATGTACTGGGCAACAAGCTGAATTTTAGCTTCATGAAAAGAGGTCTTTATAAAGTTGGTTTAGGCATGAGGATATGAAATTCCTCTGGGGATGGTCAGTAACACAAGGCGTTCATTTTTCTCTCATTTTCTTTATTCGGAAAGACTTCAGCTGCTGCTGGAAGAAGCTAGAGTCACTGGGTCTTCTCTTTGAGAAAGCTTAGATGAATTTTACCTTTCACTATTTGCTTCCAATATTACTAAAGGTATTCTGCTTTATCAAAAAAATTAAATAAAGTAAAATAAAATAAAAATGCAATCAATCTCTTAAATAAGCGAGTATGCTAGAATTAGCGGGTTTTTGTCGGTCTTTGTTTTCTGCTGCCTATTTTTGGCAGAATTGGTTTTGGTCTTGCTTTTCCTTTCCATATCATTTATCTCAGATGATTCAGCTGTAGAGGGTGTTATCTATCAACCCAAAATGTAGTACTAACATATACGGTGTAATTTTTCCTCTGAATAAACAATTCTTAAATAAAAAATTGTTCACTATGCATAATTGTTTGCATATCACAACTCCTAAAAATAAAAGATTTTTAAAGAGTATAAGGCTTGATAAGTATTAAATTTTGCATATATACAAACCCAGCAAATATCTGTGGGAAAAAAAAAGTTTACCTATGGCTATAATATCTGCACTAATTTGCAGGGTTTGCATGTCTCTATTTCCCTTTCATGTACTATATTGGAATCCACTGTAGAAATATTGACATCTGCAGTAGCTGTAAGATCAAATATTTTGATGAAGATTATGTACACCTCTCACAGGAAGGAACTAAGACATATCCAGGGAAAAATAAATAGTCTCCACAATCTGCGAGCTTTGAATCAGTATTAAGCATGATAAAATAAAACAAATACTAGTATTTCCAGCGATAAAAATTCAACTAAGAGAGAAGTGCCAAAGCCTACCTTTAGCTTCCGCTGTCTCAAATAGGATGGAGCTACTCAGAATGCAGAGCCAGTGCTATTAGACCCTGACCAATGGCAGTGGCATTCTGCAGCTGTGGGAGGTAGTACAGCTTCTACCCTCAGCTGAAGACCTCAGCCCAGGGAGTTTCTCAGACTTCAAACACCTTTAATATATGATTTTGCTGAACTGAATTTTTGGAAGGTCAAACAAAGATTTGTTGTAAGGAAATGGCATTTATTTCACATGACAGTTTTTTTACCCCTTCCCCTCAAATTTCTTGGTGCTGCTACCAATATAGCAATAAGTTGTGTTCTGGAAACAACTTCTTTTGTATTACCTGATAGCCTACAAATACAAATTTGTCTTTGTCCAAAATCAAGTCTTCAGCAAATTGAGTTATATATTAATATTTTCTCTATATGTAATATCTCTATTTTGTGGCTTATTATATGTGATAATGTTTAACGAATTTCCATCTACTGCAGGTATTTTCTGGTATGTATTCAGAGGTACTTTCCCCCCACCTCCTTTACTTTTCTGTAAGTACTTATGGAGCAATGCTCATAAAATATACTACTTCAAGTGTTTTCCTTCCAAGAGGAAATGCCACTTTCTTAATTGATATAAATCCCTATCATAGGCTGCAAATAATGGGCATATACTCTAGTATAATGTGCTCTCTTACACCAGGAAAAATGTTTTACTATATTAGCATGTCAAGCTGTGTCATTTCTTAGTTGATTGTGTTTTCTTTACTATCAGTTCCTACTTAATTCTTTACTTTTGTATTATTAGTATTTGTACATAATCCACCTATTCCTCTGAATATTTTCATAATTTTTCCAACTCTTCAATGAAATATACCTTCTACTACTGTCAACATCCAATATTAACAACAGAACCTCTCCTGTATCCCTGGAGGGATGTAGGATTCATGTATAAGGCTCCAATGTGCTAAGGAAAATTTATTTCCTTTGCTTTATGTAACTTGCACAGCGATTTTTAATTTTTTTTCCATTAAGGCCATCCTAGTGGACAAAATTTGCATGAGCCGCTGACAGGACATCAAGAATTTTAAGCCACGTGCCTTGTGGCAAGAATCCGAGACGTTTGGCCAATAGGTCAAAGGATAGAAGAGCCATAGCTCTGTTAGCAGATAGTAGAGGTTAGGGTGTTGTGGGACAAAATAGCTCAAGGTATCATGTGCTATTTAGGCAATTGAGTCAAGTCTGCAGTGGCTTTTAGAATATGACCAGTCTTGGATGACAGACTTCTTTCTTAGGAAGGTTTAGCATGAATAACTATGAATTTAGTTTCTATGAAAATAGAGGTCTTGAATCATTAAATCAGGTATTTTTAATTTCTTTTGCACTGTCTTTCCCATTGTAAAAACATCTTCTTCCATGAAGAATGAGGGCAGTAAGTAGAGTGAAAACACCACACTATTGTGTTCTGCTGCTCTTCTCTTCCTTCAGATCAGTAGCCTCAGTTTACTCCTTAATTTAGTGATCTAGTTGCTTGCAATACATACCTGTGTACGCTCCTTCCTGACAACAAAGCAAACATCTGTACCTGCTGCAGCAAAAATTTGTCATTCACCTTCCTAGTGCTACTGATAATTTTTATGCTGCTCCATTTGCAAGTAGTTAACATTATTTCATTTTTCAGTGTAGTATTTTCTGCTGTGCTTGGTAATTTAAGATTTGTTCCGCTAAATCCTCACTTCCGATGTGTCTCTTTCATTTACAAAACATATTCTCTCTAGGCAGGTCCAATAGTCATTGCTTTCACTTGTGCAAAAGATCCCAATGTTTTATTTTTTATTGAAGGAAAATTCTTATCTGTAAAAAGTTATTAATATAACTATTAATGTTTATCTTCATTCTTACACAACTAAGTAGATTTAGGCATACTGAGACCCAGGGCCTGAAACCTTTGTATCTGTAAGTTTTCTTTTTTAGTTTTATAATACCAGTGAAGTTCAAACCACTTTGTGTCTGGATCTTAACTTTGATTTTAATGGTATACTGTACTCTTGTCAGAATACAATATGCTTTGCTGGCCTTGTTTTCCAGAAACACTAAGCAAGTAAAATAAATTGAAAATGTTAACTTACAAATATTGGATTTCTGTTTTTGTTGGAGCTAGGGAAACTTATCTGAAAAAGAGTATATTTTATATAAAGAATTTTACAATCTTATGAGAATGATAGTTTGCTAAGCACACAAATAAGAAAACAGTTTTGTTTGTTTTGGTTTATGCTTTAAAGAACAAGAATGTGGAGATTGAGTTCTGTATCTGTAGGGGACATGCCTTAGTTGATGCCAAAATTAATGTTTGGCAATTTGTTTGAGTTTGGATGACAGAAGTCCTGACGCTAGCAATTCTAGTCCAGCTAGAAAGCCAAGAGACCCAACAAAAAAAAAGATAAAAGAAAAAAAAGACTACTTAGAGGTCTTGTGGCATCACTGAGCAAAAACCCAAGCTTTTTATAAAGCTCACAGTAAATTTGCACATGAGTTAGAAACGGATTCAGATCATTGCTTGCATTTTCTGAGTCCTGTTATCACAGAAGATAATGAAATTCTCAAGACTTGGGAGTGAGCTTTTCATGTCCTCTAATTAGTCCCTTCACTGACTTTTGGGTTTTTTCCAGATCCTCTGGCCTTGTACAGTCTAAGTTACTGTCTTGTGAACTTCCTCGGTTGTCTTTAAATCTTGCTCTTTGACTTAGTTGGGCTTGATTAAAAACTCACTGAAGTTAATAGAGAGTTTCATCTCATTCAGTGGTTTTTGGGACACTGCTTAAACTGGAAGCATACCCAGCTGTGACCATTGCCTAACACATTCCTAGGAAGAATGTATTCCCACTGCATAATTTCTGGCAGTAG